AAACCTGTATAATAGGGTGGACGGGATGATGATGCATTGCCTTCCATTGTTCGTCTGTGTATGTGTCAGATTTACCTTTTTCCTCTCACACAGCAAGTGCCCTATCTTTCGTTCAACACCGGGGGTTGAGTTCAAGGAATTCGATCAATTAAGCTTAAGTGGCTATCGAGAACCGTGTGGTGTGGCCAAACGACAACGACGATTGGATTGGAATGTGACCGGGTCTTGACAGAAACTCTGCACAAACCGGTGCCAAACGTAAATATCGCAATCGCACATCGAGTCCGGGTGTTTGGATTTGGACGGCTCTTCTCTTTGCTGATTTTCATTACTGGAGCTCGCCTACTGTGGCGAGCTACTTGCTGCACACATGGGTTGAGGACACTGCTAAAATTCAAACCTTGCCTCCCTGTTCTTGCGTTTTCTTGTGGCTTTTTGAATACCCCGTGCACAGTCACATTTAGGTGGCTCGTTCGTTCCTCGCTTTGATTGCGAAGACGACGACGACGACGACGGGGTTGGAGGGTATCGGAAACCACACACCAAGTGATCGGATATCTGATGGTTGTGTCTTTGCTCTTTCTCTTTATTGCCCGGTGCCTCATAATACCATATAACCTACCTACCTACCTACCTACCTGCCTATTTGACGATGCGAATGGCTTCAGTAGCGGAACGAGTGATTCTACTGGGAAGAGTTATCTGTGTGGTGTCTACTCATTTGACTAAACAAAATTTTCCAGGTTTTTCCAGGACTTCATCGGAAAATTTTCATGCTTTCAAAAAACATTTTTCAATATGCTATTTTGGGTAAAACCTGGATAGTGCGGGCTCACTCAATATGCTTGTCACCTGGGAGCCAATATGAATTGGCAAATGGGAGCCAAACATTCAGAAGTCAATTGTGTAGTTATTCTTCTTATACATCGTCAAGTATTGGCATCTTATAGAAATAAGCCTTATTTTGTTCTGTGTATAACAGTTTATTAGTTGTAAGCGCAACGGCTGAAACTAACAGGCTCAGTGAAGGAACCTTAATTAACAGCACAATTTTAAGGACTCAGCTGGATTTCAATTCTAATGAAACATACACAGCAAAAAAATAATTTTGATATCACATCAAAGTGGATGCACTACAATCATGTCGAAAATTTCATGTAATTTTGTGTATGCAAAACGAGAAGGTAAACCTACTTTATTGGGGTCATGGGAGCTTGTACACTCCGAGCTCAAACATTTTGGCGGGATTCAACTGAAAGAAGAGCAAAACAATTCGATACTTGGACAAAATTTCAAGCAATTTTTCGGAAATCTTGACTCAGATTCACAAACTTCAGTTTAGTGGAGACGCGACAATAATAGGGTGACCAGTTAACACTCCGAATACGGTGGATAAAAAAAAATTACGCCGACTACGAAGCCTCAGAAAAACGTGTAACGACAAGTTCGCTAAGGCATAACTTAGCCATTTCTTAATCAATTTCAAAAAATTGTGATACCTTTAGAATTCCTATGGTCTGTAGATTATTTTGATTCTAGAAAGATTGAAAATAGAGTCTTAAAAAGCGAAAAGAGTCGTTACACGTTTTTTTGAAAGGTGTGTTTATAGGGTTTTGCAAGTGGCGCAAGATCTGTAATTTAGATTAATGGGCACAAATCTAAGCAATTATCCAGAATACAGTCATGATTCCTATATACGGATTCTGGAGACAACGGAACGGTCCTCGAAAAATCCGGATTTCGGATCATCCGAAAACACTTTGCACTGTGATATATGAAAGAATTTAGGGTCGAGACATCAACATGAACCTGGATGGCCATTGGACCGTCCTCCAGAAGATCCGGATCATCCGTAAAAGTGGATCATCCGTAAAAGTGGATCATCCATTAAACTGTGAAAAAACCGTGTTTTTTTTTTCGAAAACTCTTGGAACTGCGATTTAAGATAGAATTTAGGGTCGTGACATAAACATGGATCCGGATGGCCATGGGACTGTCCTCCAAACGATCCGGAGCTTCCGTAAATTTGTCAATCTGTGGAACTGATCCTAGAGCTCTGCAGTTCTTTTTTAAACACTTGAAACTGTGATGTAAGAAACCACTGGACCACTTTTACGGATTTTCCGTATCTTCCGGAGGCCCGTTCCGGTGTCTCCAGGATCCATGTATAGGAGCCATGAAGGTATTCTAACTAATTATGAACATTTGTGACCAATAACGTAGATTATAGATCATAAATCATTTGCAAAACCCATGAACACACTTTTAGAAAAAAACGTGTAATGACCATTTGCGCATTTTGAAAAAGTAGACGACTCTATTTTCAATGTTTTTAGAATTAAAATAATCTACAGACCTTAGGCATTCTAGGGACACCTCAATTTTTGAAATTCATCAAGAGATGGCTAAGCTATTCTATTGCAAACTTGCCGTTACACGTTTTTCGGAGGCATCGTATTCGAGGTTTTAAAGAACGCCTAGTTAGCGAACAAGTTCTTGCTCCTCATTGTGTTCTTAATAACTTGATTAGTATCTCTCTCTATCTGAGAGAACTAAATGAGAATTTAGGATAATGGACTTGCTTGGATGTTTTTTTTTTATTACTTGCAGTACCACTTCTATGGTTGAATAATGATTCAAAGATACATAGACAAGCATTACCTTGACTGCACTGAGTGGCTTTATTGAGTATTCTAGGTTCTCAGTGAAGTTTTAATGTTGTGATGATGCGTCTATTGCAATTGAAATGGAATTAACTTACAGAATTTTCAAGGTGAAAGCGCTGTTCCCGAAACCGCTCGCGAATTAGTTTTTGGTTACGTGTATTATCCGGAATTATTTTCTAGCGGAGCTGGGTCTCAAAATGTGGTCAAGGCATAATGGGATTAATTAAAAGTGTTTCATATGTAAAATGCAGGGTGACCAGTAAACTGATGCAAAAATTGAAATTTCCGCTACACAGTGTTCAAACGGTTTCAAATCGGGTCCTGATTAGCATCCGAAAGTTTAAGCTCATTTGATAAGAAACTGGCTTGGCACAAACCATTTAAAGTTTATACGGAAATTACTATGAGAAAACAAAACTTTTTGTTCATTGTCTTCTAGCCTTTTTACATATTGTACTGTTAGCAAATTCTAATACTATTCTTATGGGAATTTTTATCAGCTACAACTTTGCAAAAAATCGTTTTTCAGCCAAACGTCAAATTGAATAGTTGTTAATTGTTTAAGCGATTGATAATCTTATGGCATGATCAAGCAGTTGTTTTGTGGGCAACACTGTATTCTGCAGTGTGACATAGTAGCCATGACTTTTGTTCTTTATTCTACGCGCCATAAACACTAATGTTGCCTGCTGAACAGTTGATTGAGCATAATCATAAGACATCAGTGACTTGAATTATTAATAATTTTTGTTCCTAACATTTGATAGAAAGGTGGTCTTGAAAAAAGTTGTAGCTGAGAAAATTTTCAACAAGCTCAGCTATCATTTTCTTAAGTAGAGTTAACTGGTGAATTTTGAGATCGATATGAACCGAAATTATGGTTTCTCCATAGTAATTCCCATATAAACTTCAAATGGTTTGTGATAAGTAAGTTTCTCACTAAATGAGTTCAAATTTTGGGAAACTAATCAGGGCCCAAATTGGAACCGTTTGAGCACTGTGGGGCGAAAATTTCAAATTTTGTATCAGTGTAGTGACCAGTGATCCGGGAAATCGAGAAAACCGGATTGAAGCCGAGCATTTGAAGTCACCGGGAAGTTCGCGTGAATTTCTATGACTAATCTGGAAAGATATAATTCGTCCTCTCTTCGAAAAAAAAAATTAAGACCCTTGCACTGGACTACATTTTCAGGACACAGTCACTTCAAAGAACTATTGGGAGAATTTTGGATTTTTTTTTCCTAAAACAAATTTGAACAGATTTTAGAATAAGTTCTAAAGATAACTCCAAGGTATTTCAGAGAACAGTTTTAGGGAGTTTTAGGAAACTCTTTACGAGAGTTTCGACTAGAACTCCCGAGTCAATTTGAGTGAGTTCAGAGTAAAAATTTAAGCATCTCTCTTGAAAATTCCATGACGATTGTGAAGAGGATTCGAGGATTCGTAAAAAATACCAAAGGCATCGATTTTTGAGGGAACAAATCCAAAGAAAATTTTGAGGATAACTCCATGCCCATATAGAAGGGAGTTTCTAGATAATTTTAAGGAGAGTTTCAATTTCCCGGAGAATTTAGAGGAGAACTCCAAAATGATTTTGAGCATTGCCCGATTCTGCCCGATGGTGTTGGCAGGGAAAGGGAATTACATATCAAAAGCTAATAGGCCCTTTTCAATCGTTGGTCGAGAATGCTGAGGTAAATTTCATGGAAGTTCTACGGAAAATTCCGATAATTGAACTGAATTAAAAAAAAAATAAGCTTCAGTGATTCCAGTAAAAGAGTTTTAAATTCGAAGAGAATCTATGGACGGCTTTCCGGAATTTTTTGGAGTGATCTTCAACAATTTTCAAGGGACTTTCAGAGAGAATTTCAAATTGAGACGAACTTTAAAAATGGGCTCTGTGAAAGGAAATGCTTAAGAACAAATAGATAAAATCCTGTTTAGTTTTGATTGAATTTTCTTGAATACTTGGAGCGTGTCGCAGAACCAAATTCAAGATCCCCAGGAAAGTAGATTTATGTCGAGATGGTTGCAGTTTCTTTCACACATCCGGAACATCCCGGATTGTATAAGTAAAAAAAAACTTTTGGTAGGAAATGGGGACTAAGACCTAAAATGATCCACTGGATTTATTTGACGATTGTAGGACCCAGAATAGCCTATGCATCATTGGTTTGGTGGCCTAAAACCAATGAAAAATCAGCTCAGAAGAAGCTGGATCCTGGTCCAATGAGCAGCACACCAAGTATGGCACTAGATGCTCTACTTTATCTGCTTCCGTTGCATCAATTTATTCAATTAGAAGCCGAAAGAAGTGCATTTTGGATCAGATGGTCACAGAACTTCCTTGAAGGTGATCTTAGAGGACATATGAGCATCCTAAAAATGTAAAAATGTTCAATATTGATTCTCTTGTGATACAAAATGAAGATTGGATGAAGAAAAAATATCACTTCGATCGTCTTTACAATGTAGCAGATGTGGATCGCGATTTGTGGGACAATGGGGGACCAAACATTCGTCCAGGATCAATTGTCTTTTGTACAGACGGCTCTAGATTGGATAATCGTGTAGGAGCAGGGGTGACAAGTCCAGGAATAAATATCTCAATATCTATGGGCTACTAACCAACTGTGTTCCAAGCAGAATTCCAAGAATTTCTTGAATGTTCTAAAATTTACATGCGTAGAAATTATAGACATTCCAATATACTTCAGTAGATTCTGTTGATTCTGTAGTGCTTCCTTCCTCAGTGGTCGATTCTTCTGCAGGAGTTTCACTTGTGACTTCAGTAGATTCTGTTGATTCTGTAGTACTTCCTTCTTCAGTGGTCGATTCTTCTGCAGGAGTTTCACTTGTGACTTCAGTAGATTCTGTTGACTCTGTAGTATTTCCTTCTTCAGTGGTGTGTATCTAAATCAGCAACATGTAATTCTAAAGTTGTATAGGAATGTGCAATGTCACTCTAAAAATTGGCCTGCCAAAACCAAATGAACCTATTTTGGGTTCCTGGTCACTGCGGAATACAAGGGAATGAGAAAGCCGACACACTAGCTAGGCTTGGATCATCTCAACAATTTGTAGGACCAGAACCATTCTGTGGAGTTTCTGCTTGCTCTCTTAGAATGAAGTTCAAGAAATGGGAAAAAATGAAATTGGAGACCAATTGGAACAACACTCTCATTGGCAGTCGAAACGGTTTATTAATCCGAGCATTTCAATGACTAGCAAAATTATTGAACTATCAAAGAAAGGTCTCAGTATGTACACTGGTTTAATAACAGGACACTGTCCATGTCCAATATCACTTGACGCTAATAGGAAAACTTCAAGAGGACATGTGTCGATTATGTGGCATAGAAAAAGAAGACTCTGAACACCTGCTGTGCTCTTGTACAGCAATCTTCAATAAGAGGCGTATTTTTCTGGGAAAATGCTTTCGGTCAGTCTATGTCGGTCGCTTCATAAAATGGTGATACGACATGCTGATAAAGCAATATTAAAGCGGGGAATATATCACAATAGATCTAAGTAGTGGTCGCAGTGATCAAAATACCCAACACGAGAAAAAAAAAAACATCCCGGATCAAGTATGATTACCTTGCGTTTACCTCGTTTAAAATTTGTGTAGGTATTTAGAAAATGTGCTGCCTTTCTGTTTTTGGCAACACGCGATTTATGTCTTAGTTGCATTCTATAAAATGTATCGAACGCTTTATTCAACTTGAAATTGTATAAGATCACTCTTCATCTTCATGGGATATAGGTCCATGTCCAGAAGCACTAGTATAGTACTGAGGAAAGTAAAAGCAAATTGGGTTACCAAAAACGGGTAGGCACTGCACCTGATCTTTTCTTTTTTTTGAAAATCAGGGAATTTGTTTTCTTCATTGAGTCGACACCCTGTAAGATTACCAATCTCTTAAATAATTAACAACAATTTCATTTGTTGTTTGCCTAGTTTGCAAAGAAAATTTCCTATAGCTTTCTCTCAGGTTCAGTTTTTGGATTTCCCATAGTAATTTCCATATAAATTTCAAATGGTTTGTGCACTTAATTTCTAACCAAAAAAGCTCAAATTTTGGGAGGCTTCTCAGGCCAAGATTTACAGGGTGTCGACTACCTGAAAAAAATCTGGAAAATCAGGCAATATCAGGGAATTCAATTTTGGACCTCGAAAATTAGGGATTGTCATTGTTATTTCTTAATTACTCGCTGTAGTTTGAGGATGATTTTCAATTTCATTCGCTCGATCCAGCTACGTTCAACATATACTCAATTCCTTGAGCGCATTGGAGCGCTTTTGAGTAAATTTAATTGGTTTGAAAAGTTGAACCTCGTTCTACTTTTTTTCAATTCAAGTCAGTTAACTGGCATTGTTTACACGTTCAAGTCAGTTGAATTCATCTGAGTTGATCAATTGACTTGCCTTTTCTAAACCCAGCTTTAAGAAAAGATAATGATTTTTTTTTCTGAATACTTCTAGTTTTTGTTCCTTATTGTGTTCTTAACAGCTTGATTAGCACAGAGAACTAACTAAATGAGAATTTAGGATAACGGTCTTGCTTAGGAGGTTTTTTTTATTGCTTGGAGTAGCTCTTGCATGATTTTGAATGATGATTCAAAGATGCGTAGACAAGCATTGCTTTGACAGCATAGAGTGGTTGTATTAAGTATACATTGTAAACCTGGTTAGCTCGTAAAATTAGTTTCACAGTAAAATTTTAGTATGTTAATGTTGCTGCTATTGCAATTTAGATAGAATTAACTTACAGAATTTTGGAGATGAAAGCGTTGTTGTTAATATTTCCTACCGGAGAAATCCACCCGCGAAATAGATATTATCCAGAATAATTTTCTTACGGAGCTGGGTCTCAAAATGTGCTCAAGGCAAAACAAATATAATGGGATTAAAAACAAGTGTTTCATATGTAGAATGCAGATTAGACTGGCCCACATTTATATGGGGGAAATTTTTTTATGATTTTTTTCAACGGGCCAACCCCTATATTTGTGCAATTAGGTGAGAAACCACTCTCTGAAAATTTCAGCTCATTAGGATGTAGCACGAGCTGGCGCTGGGGATATTGGTTGAAATGTATTGCGGAATAACATCACTTCACTTTTTCATGCATAGAACTGATTGAGCAAACTCGATTAAGCTCAGATTTTCAGCACACGTAGTTAAACTATAAGGAACAACTTTGCTATAGACAGCATCACGTTTCAAGTTAGTATTATGGAAATATTAATTAATTATAATATGTGTATTCTGCTCGTACATTGTAACAAAATACAGGCAGCTTATGCAACGTATCAACTAAATTACCACTAAAATAAAAGTTCATATTTTCCACAGGCCAACATCCAGCCTCGTGTCTTTTGGTGCGATAACCACTCTCTGAATGTTTCAGCACTTGTTGACGTTACACGGGCTGGCGATTTTGGTTTAATGTTCGTATAGGAGAATTGGTTGAAATTTTCATATACAAAATGCTCATCTACATTCAAAAGCGAATATCTCAATAAAACTAACTGGATTCATGATGCAATCTTCAGCAAAGTTGTTACTCATTGATTGAACTACAAGTTTTGAAAATCTGAAGCAAATCAATAATAAAGAAACTTTTTTTTCATGATCGATAGAGTAATGTATTTTATCCAAATTCCCCATACAAAATTCAAACTACAAGCGCCAGATCGTGTTACATCCGAATGAGCTGAAATTCTCCGAGAGTTGTTTTCTCACCTATGGCACAAATCTAGGGGTTGGCCCGTGGAAAATAGGAACTTTTATTTTTGTGGGCCAGTCTAATGCAGAGTGAACCGGGAAAATTGGAAAAGCTGGAATTTGAAGTCACCGTGAAAATACCATAAATTTAGTTGACAAATCTGGAGAAGTATACCTCGTCCTCTCTTTGAAAACAATACGATTTCAAGACCCTTAGACTGGTTTAGATCTTCAGGATAACTACAGTCACTTTGAAGAACTATTAAGAGAATTTTTCCAAAGAAAATTTGAGCAGATTTTATAATGAATTCATCATTTAAAAAACCCATATTGATCCACCGGGCAGGTGAATAGAACCTTTGTTACCCAGTAAAATCTCGTTTTTGATATTATCCATAGATATACGAGGCCTTAATGGATATTTTTGGTTTTTATTGGTCTCAGTTTTTGCACTGCTCAATTGAACAGCAATTTCTAGTTTGAATTGGAGTCCAAATCATAATTCAATAATCAATTGATTTATGTCTTCACGTTAATTTCCTAACATGACAATAATTTTAAGATATAATTGATCATTTTGTCAAGCTTCTGCATTCATGTTCCATCAGATGTCACAGCTGTTGTTTGCAGTGACATCTTTCGGAAACTAGACACAATCTGTTTTCCTATAATTGTTCACAGAGGACACTGCAGTGCAAAACATGTCTGGTTCCTCTATATATGCATTTAGATTATTATTCGAAATCCCTCCTTTTTTACACATTCTGCACACAAAATAGCTCACCCCCCACAAAATTTCCCGCCGAATTTTATGTATGGGGCGGGGCATAAAGTATCTTTTGCGCAGAATATTTAAAAAAGGAGGGACTTCAAATGTTAAAGCAAATGCATATATAGAGGTACCAGACATGTTTTGTAGTGTCAGGTACTCTATTTTGTAATCTGTGGAAGGGAAATCACAAATCGAGTGCCAACAAAATACATGGCATTTTGAGAGATTGAGCTCGTGAGAGAGAATTTCTCTCTCAAATTTGAATTTTTTTGGCTCTCTGGGGACTGGTAGTAAAGCGGGTAAAATTGTATGAGGAAAAATCATTTTTAATTAAGTGTAGCTTGATTAACTATAATTTCCGGGAAAAAACTGAACGACAAAGTTCCTAATAAATTTCTTTAGGTTGTCGTTCACTTTTTTCACCTGAATATGCACCGAAAGCGAATTATTCTCACTTCTCTAAATTTCTATATGGGGATTTTAATCACTTCCTACCAGAGAAACAGCGCCATCTCTGTGGAAAATGGTCGAACAAAATGTTTAATTGTGGCTTATCTAGTAAATTAATTTCCCAATCAGTGTGTTGATTCAGGCGCAAGCTAACTATAGTCGCTATATTTATAGTTGGCGGATAGAATCCCGATCGATTAAAAAGCGGAACCAATTCAATATATTGTACACTAACAATTGGAATGGTACCATCAAATTTTATAAACAAATCGTTGATTATTCTTTCCTCGCCAATCGAACGCAAATTACCGGCATCATCCGATAGGGAAAATTTTCTCCAAAGATGCTGTTGTTTGCGTAGGCGTGCCTTATCACGAGAAAATAGCAATAGCTGATGTGCTCTTTTCTGTTGTTGGTCGTGATTTGACAGCTCAATTGGTCAATGCATAGCGACTATGCATCATCTTCTGTCGAAATGTCCTGTGAGCAGTGTTGCCACATTTTTTCAATCTGTATTTTCACCGTAAAAAATCTTTTCAATCTGTATCTGGCTGACAAAAATCTTTTTTTGTTTATTTATTTATTGTGGTATTAGTGCAGGTTTTCGTAAACCTCCTTTTGAAAGCCCAGAAAAAGTTTTTGTATAGTTTAGAATCTTGACAAATGATTTAAGTTTGTTTCCTAAAGAATTAATCTATTCAAATAGCTTCAAATCCTTAATCTTAGAGAAAAAAATATGATTTGTATCTTTTCTACAAGTCTAAAAATTCAAAAAATCTAGTCTCAGTAGTAAGAAACGAACCAAATGAAGTAACAATCACATTTCCTTCAATTTGATTTTTTATGACCGAGATTACGAACATCTCTATCAAATCATTTGTATTTATTAATTCAACAATTTGGGGATATGAAAAATCAGGCATTAAAGTTTTATGATTTATATATTACTTATAAAATTTT